ACTTCCTCTTTCATTCTCAAAAATAATAGTTTGTTTTTTTCTTTCATCAATGTTGATACAATTCTTTTGATTTTAACATTTTTTTTCCCCAAAGAACTGATTTTTGGCATGGTTAATTTTCTCTGTTGATTTTTGTTTTCTGTTTAATTGACTTTTGTTCTCATCTATGTTATTTTTTTTTCTTTTAATTATTGGATATGTTTGCTTTTCTTTTGGTTTCTCTAGATGAAAATAAACTAATTTTATTTTCTTATACAGAAAATATATATGTCGTTAAGCACTGTCTTTTCCTTCATATCCCAGATTTTGGTAATCTTCATCAATTTAAAGCTTTTAGCATTTTCTAATGCCCTTGTGATTTCTTCTTTGATCTATGAATTATTTATAATCTGTTTTTTAAATTCCAAGTATTTGTAGTTTTTCAAAACATCTTACTGATTTATAATTCAATTTCATTCATTTAAAGAAAACCGTTTAAGTTTTCAATTATTTAAAATTTATTGAAACCTGTGTTACAGTCTAGCACTTCACCTATGTTGCTGTACATTTCATGTACACTTGGAAATCTGAGTAGTCTACTATTTATAAGAGTGCTATTCTTCAATGGCCAATTAGGTTAAGTTGGTTGGTACAGTTATTGTTGATACAATTGGATTTGGCATGCCATCATGATTTTTTTTCCCAATGTCTCTTCTGTTACTATTTCTGTTACTATTTCCTGTCATTTTTGTTTATCTGCAGAGTATTTTATTATTCCATTCTATTTCCTTTAATGGATTTTTAATAATACCTCTTTGGTTTGGTTTGGTTAGATTTAATAATGCTGTGGATTTATACTTTACACCTTGTACTTCATTTTTCACATCTAACACTTCATATTCTACAATCTCCCCTTCCCACTTTACAAATGTAATAATCTCATGATAGTGTGATTTAACCTGTCCCTTTCTCTTTGCTATTTTAATTATATCTTTTCTTTCTCTATATATTATAAACTCTACCTTACTATTATTTTTGCTTTAAATCTGACCAATTACCTTGTACYGATGTAGGCTTTTATTTAAAAAATATTAAAGGTGTATTTGTGAAACTTTCTAGGTGTTTCCCACGGCCCTCTGATTTGGTAGGTCTCAATCTCCAAGCTATATCATTTCTGCAAGTCTTTTTTTGGTGGCGAGCAGTACTGGGGATTGAACTCAGGCCACTCAACCACTGAACCACATCCCCAGCCCTATTTTGTATTGTATTTAGAGACAGGGCCTCACTGAGTACTTTAGTGTCTCATCATTGCTGAGGCTGGCTTTGAACTCGAGATCCTCCTGCTTCAGCCTCCAGAGCCGCTGGGATTATAGGCCTATGCCACTGCACCAGGCTATTCCTATAAATCTTTTTTAAGAGTCACACTTACACACTGGTAGGGAACCTCTAAAGAAGGCCTGCTCTTGGCCAAGGTCTTCACTTATAAAGTGTGACCTTTTRGATGCCTCAATTGAATTTGTGGGGTGTAGATAAAGTACTTCCTTTCTGGCTCAGAAAGTTGCCCTGACCACAAACATRTTGTTTCTGTTTCCAGACTACCGGTATCAGCTCTCTGGTGTGCTCACTCTTTGTTACTCAGCCCAGGCTCTGCCAAGACTGATGGGAGCCCTAGCCAGACATCTGGCTCTCCTCTCTCTCTCCTTCTTCCACCCAGTAGCTTTCCTTATGTTTCTAGGCAGTGCTAAACTCAGATCTCGGCTTCYTCTGCTTCATATGACTGTCATTCACTACTTCGGCTTCAGCTCACTGCTGTGGTCAGAAAATTCTGCTAAGTTCTAGAACCAAAGAAATCAAGAGTCTAGCTCATAAGTTTCCTTTCCATCTAGAACAGCAATCTTATATTGCTTATTGTCCAAAATTTTGCTTGGTTTTATATTTGTTAAGAAAAGGAGCATTTGGGGTAAAAATGGGAGTTCATAACCCACTTGAGTCAAATATATGAAAGATGATATGTCATGAGCTTTGTAATGTTTTGAACAATCAATTAAAAAAAAAGAAAAGAAAAGGGGCTAATTCAGTACGAATTGATTGTCATGGCTGGAAGCACAGATTCTTATTTTTAGATTGAATAAACATGACAAAATATTAAAGAACCTCAAACAATCCAGAAAAGAGGATAGAAAGAGAAAGGAAATTTGTGGTGATAAAAATAGCCTGAAAGAGAAGAACTGGGTTAGGTAGAGAGGGTAGAAGAACATTAGGTACGTGTGTGCTTGCTTTGGCAGCACATATACTAAAACAGAAGATTGGCATAGCCCCTGTGCAAGAATGGCATGCAGATTTGTGAGATGCTCCATATTTTTGCTAAGTGAAATAAACCAATCCCCAAAAACCAAAGGCTAAATGTTCTCTCTGACATGTGAATGCTAACACACAATAAAGAGGGATTAGGGAAGAATAAAAAATTCATTGAATTAGACAAAAGGGAATGAGGCAAGGGAAGGGAATGCGAATAGGAAAGACAGTAGAATGAATTGGACATAACTTTCCTATATTCCTATATAAATATACAACCAGTGAAACTCCATATCGTGTACAACCACAAAAATGGGAAGTTATACTCCATGTATGTAAAATATATCAAAATACATTCTACTRTAATATATTACTAAAAAGAAAAAATAAAAACATTTTGAAAATAATTAATAGTAACCAAAAAAATTAGGTCCATTTCCCACCCCTTCAGTCTTCAACACATTATATAATGCACTTTTAACAAATGTTACTGGGACCTGATCTGGAMCAAGTTCTGTGGTAAGTAACAATTAATCACGGTTAATAGGACCTTTTTCCTATCCTAAGACCTAGTGGGAGAAATGTACTCACATAAAAMCAATTACAAAAAATATGTTTGGCGATCAAATTGCTATTTTCATAAAATTTTATTGAGTATAGAGAAGTTAATTCTGCTTGGCTGAGAAAGTTTTCACAGATGTGATATTTGAACTGGACTTTAAATGACAGGGATGAATTTATTTGTTGAAGAATGTGCAAGGGAGGAGGGAAAATTATTTGGTAAAGCATTTCAGACAAATGAACAGTATGAAGGTCACTCCAACACATCARACACTGCGGTCTACCTTTGAGCCAGCAACGACAAGGAATCTTCATGTATGATTCAAAGTTAGGGATGAACAAACTCCCACCAACTACCAGAATGATCACTGGCATACAACCTAGACATAAGAAAATTGCCCATCATTACTATTCAAAATGGCATTTAGTCAGGCTTCCCTCCCAGGGAACCCAATTATATGTAACATTCTCCTGCAGACTCATTGAAAGTTTCATTAGAGATTTACAATACTTGCCCTCTGGGAGCAGAGTAGSTAAGCAAGGAGAATTCTCTCTTTAGTACAAGAGAGTTGGACAGATAATTTGCTCAAAATATTTGACTTGCTGGCTAAAGCTGTAACTTGTCTGTGTGGGGGTCAGTGGATCTGACAGTTGTGTTAATTCAGGGATCCTGGGTCATAGCTTTCATTGAATGTCCTTTTAATCCATGGATTTTTTTTTAATCTTACTAATACTCATTACTGAGTCTGAAATATTTAGTATGCAATCTCTGTATGGCTTTCCCTCCCCCCCCTCTGTCTTCCTTACTGACTTTTCCTCTTTCCTTCTCCCTTATGGAAAAATCTTGGCAGACTATAGAACAGTAAGCTTTGGGAGTCGAATATAACGTTGGTGGTTCAATATCACTGTGGATTCCTTCAATAAAGTAAAGCCTTGATTTTATAGAGAATAAAACCAAATATTTATTAAATTTTCATTACCCTGAGGGCTACACATAGATAGTAGAACCTATAATATTTTATTATGCATCTTTGTACTCCCAATACCTGTGATGACTGTTTTTCTTCAGAATACAATTATCTAGCAGCAGTTGGGGAAATAGCATAACTAAACAGCTTCATTTTATTTCACTTGCAATAGAGTATAGTAGCTTATTCTTTCCCAAAATCTTTAAGTCAGAGACCTCTGTCTATTCCTGAACCCTAGGTTTAGGTCATTGCTGGATGCAATTGAAGATACATTTAAAAAGCCTCCAAATTAGGTTTTTGTTTTTATAAAATACCTCATATTTGGAGAGCATAGGTGACTGAGTGGATTAGTTATTAAATACAGAATCTGAAGGACTGCATAGGTAAAGTTGAAAGCTAGTCAACTAGAACAGTTGATATTTACTTAGGACATATCATTGTCCAGGTACTCAGCTAGATAGTTTATATGAATAATTTAACTTATTCCTCATGATTTATACTTTATTACACCTCTTCTATCCTGAAATATAATGATAATTACTATATTTATTGGACATACATGGTGGACTGAGCACTTTAATTTCATTATTACTAATTCTTACATACTTATCTCCAGAGGTACAAAAAACTCTCCAATTTTGAGATGGGGGAACTAAGGCTCAGGGAGGTGTTGTAGCTTGCCCGAGTTTGCAGAGCTTATCAATGGTGGAAAAGAGCTTTGATTCAAGGTCACTCTGGTCTCCATGCCATGTCTTCTACTCTTCACTCCATGGCTGAGGGGACTGTTATTTCTCATGAATATGTTCTTTGGTGGAAACAATTTCAAAGTAAGATTATGAAAAGAAGAGCTGAACTGAATTATTTCTAAGGCCCTTCTGAGATTTCTAAATTGAAGCCAATTTTAATGTACTTTGCATGGACTAGAAAAATTAGGACACTCTCAAGATAAGAAAAGTAGCCCTTTCAAGATATATGTAACTATTTCTATCATGTGGCTAAGTGTGCTGCTAATAATTGTTTTGCCTCTGAGATTCCAAAAACTTCCTTTCAAAATGAAATCATTATCTGAACATTTCAGGGAGGCCTACTGAAAATCAAGAACATAGGCACAAATACTGAAGTATATCCTACTGAATGTATTATAAATGTAGCATAATGTTTTCTGTTTTCTCTCTTGTGGTTTGTTTCTTATTACAGCATGCTTGGAAGACTACACAGATTCCTCTGGGATGATAAGTTCTCCAAACTTCCCCAATAATTACCCCAATAACTTGGAATGCATTTATAGGATCACAGTGGAACCCAATCAACAGATTGCATTGCACTTCACAAACTTCTCCTTGGAGGAAGGCATTAATGGAAATTGCATAGGAGATTTTGTGGAAATCAGGTAATCGCTTTAATTATTTCGAAATAATCTCTGTCATCATTTATCTTTATTAATAATCATTCCTGGAAAGATTAAGAAAAAATACATGAACATTCTTTGTAAAGCTCCCTGCTATGCTATGTAATTCCTTAGAAGAGATAAAATTTGTCATTTGAAGCCTGACAGAAGAAATAGAAAAAAATTACATAAAAGTCAGTGGTTATTCTGATGTAATACTTTTTTAGGGAATGTTTAGAAATGAACTTCAGATTTTTATCTGGGCAAAGAGAACAGATGTATTACCACTTTTAAATGAAATACTTGCTATTGTTGAATACCTACTTTCTTTATGTAAACTTAATTTAAATTTTAGGCTATTTACTGTCCATTTGATCTAGTTATGTCACAAAAATGAAGGCATGATAGCAACCTCATATTAAAGTTTTCACAAAGTTTTTTGTTTATAAATAATGAACCCAGGCACAGTGACACACACCTGTAATCCCAGTGGCTGGGGAGGCAGGAGGATCACAAATTTGAAGCTAGCCTCAGCAATTCAGCGAGTCGCTAAGCAACTCAGTGAGACCCTGTCTCTAAATAAAATATAAAAAAGGGCTGGGGACGCTACCCAGTGGTTAAGCACCCCTGGTTTCAACCCGGTATCAAAAATTTAAAAAAAAGAAACTTTAGGCCTGTGGATGTCAGTGTAAGGCATCTTTCTTTCATTGCCTGGCATTATGAAAGTGTATTTCAAAAATTATACAGTGAAGGCATATGAACTTATACATTGATRTCTCTCCTTTGTATTACATCAAGTTAAATTAAGCTAATCATTTTGGTATATATCTGCATCAAATGTTTTATTTGTCATTTCACATCTGGAATCTTACAACATTTATAAAATTTTATTGTATTATATAAAGTAAGAAACTAAAGCAAAAAATTGCTAATACAGCATGCTAAAATGACATAATTTTCTTAATTTACAACAACGAATCATTGGGATCTAATGTTGAATGAATCATCATGTTTTGTTTGTTTGAAATAAAGTACAGATTATAAATTAGATTTAAGACGCCAAAAAGTTCTTAGGGAAATAACTATTTCCAGAATTTTTCAAATATATCAAATATGATACATTAAATTTTGAAAATTTCCAAATTAGAAGAAAAAACATTTAAGATTTCTCTGTAAAACTAAGCAATACTTGTTTATACTGTTAATAATTATGGTTTCTGTACTCCATATTTTCTGAAGTTTTTGCCAGAGGCTTTGAGAAGAAAAGATTGAACACATTCTCTCAGTTTGCAAGTGGTTATATAAGATGTCATGCCAGCCGTAAATGATAGTTCTTCTTTATTACATCACTCAAATACTATTTRACAAAGCCAAAATTGAAAACTCAATATTTTGTTTTTTAAAGTCATTTTGAGAGAAGTTGACTGATTTGATAAACTGGTCGACTGTAATCCTGTAGTTTAAATAATGTTAAATGTTTATCCAGTAGTATTGTCAATAATCTAATAAATTTTCATTTCTATATTCTGCCATAGAGATGGAGGCTATGAAACTTCACCATTCCTGGGAACATACTGTGGATCAAATCTACCTCCAAGAATCATCTCTCACAGTAACAAACTGTGGTTAGAATTCAAAAGTGACCCGATATTCACAGAGTCTGGGTTCTCTGCTTACTGGGATGGATCACTAACAGGTAAAGATCAAGGAGCTGCCTTGGACAGAAGAATTCAATCTGATTGGTTTCCTGATTCTTGGATTGTCATTCTAGGTCTATCATCACTTGTCTACTTTTTTTCTAACTATGTTTAATCATTCATCTTTCTACTAAACTTCAACATAGCAAATATTTTTTTAATTTACAGTAGAATTAAAAACGGAATTAACAACTGGGTGTGGCAGTGCACACCTATAATCTCAGCTGCTTGGGAGGCTGAGGTAAGAGGATTGTGAGTTCAAAGCCAGCCTCAGCAATGGCAAGGAGCCAAGCAACTCAGTGAGTCCCTGTCTCTAAATAAAATACAAAATAGGGTTGGGCATGTGGCTCAGTGGTTGAGTACCCCTGAGTTCAATCCCCAGTACCAAAACAAACAAACAACAACAACAACAAAACCCAGCAGCCATGTATTTTGAAGGACAAAGGGAAAAATTCTAGTTCTTTGGCATATGTCATGGGGCTATCCTCTTGATCAGAAAAGGAAAGTCCATTGATGTGAATTGTGATGATAGACTAACTACTTTTCTGGGATGTGGTTTTGCTTTGCACATTGATTTAAAGAGAAGTGCCAGTTCAATATAGAAAGAAATTTCAATTTTATAAAAAAGGAAAGGGTAGGCATCTTTCCATTTCTTTCTCTTGTCATGCAGTTTCTTTCTCCTATAGGTTGTGGAGGCAATCTTACCACTTCCACTGGCATATTCACATCCCCGAACTACCCAATGCCCTACTACCACAGCTCTGAATGCTACTGGTGGTTGAAATCCAGCCACGGCAGCCCATTTGAACTGGAATTCAAAGACTTCCACTTGGAGCATCATCCAAACTGCTCTTGGGATTATCTGGCGGTATTTATAGTATTTCAATTGAGCTACTCACTGCTCTGTTCTCATTAAAATACACATAATGCATTTATTTTTATTTTTGATTTTCAGGAAAGGGGAGCATTTAAGCAGGACATCCACATAAGAAATTTAAGCAAAATAAAAACTTTAAAGAAAGTTGGTGAAAATATTAATCTTCTAAATACAGTATTACCAAATAACTTGATACAACATGTTTGTAAAACATTTTGAATATGAACTGTTAAGTTGTGGTTAAAAGGGGTTATATAATGGGTTATTACCATCCTCTACATAATTTCTATAGGTGTATTAAAAACATAGTAATTTAGAGAACTATTTTGGCGAATTAAAGAAGATAATTAGAGTCATCCAACTGTGACTTTTTGTCATACCAGCAATTCACCATGGTCCACTAAAAATATGAAAAACTACTAAAGTTTCACAAATTATAAACTAGGGAATCAAAAATAAAGGATCATTGATGTTAGCAATGACCTCAAAATATGTATTAGACTTTCATTTTCAATGTATGTGATGTCATTATCCTGACATCACATACTTATTACTGTGATGGCTAAGTTGTCTGAGTTCATGGTCTGAGTTTATAGTACTATGGCAAATTTTTAAAAGATATTTTATTTCAGGGCTATTCTTTTGTCATATATATATATATATATATATATATATATAATTTTTTTCCTTGCCAGAGTCTAATGAGTATTTTTTCTCTATTTATTCAGCGTCCTTTAGATTTCATATAGCCACAACCATCTAATATTTTAAATATTTTATTAAAGATCTATGATGGCCCAAGTACCAGCTCTCATCTGTTAACTCAGCTTTGTGGGGATGAAAAACCGCCTCTGATCCGTTCTAGTGGAGACAACATGTTATTAAAACTGAGGACTAATGAAGGTCAGCAAGGAGGTGGCTTCGAGGTCAAATACTGGCAGAGTAAGTAGGTGTGACAGTCACTCGGTGTCTAGAGTGGGACATCAGACCCTTGATGAAACTGAGAGCAGAATAACCCATGGGTTTGAGCCATTGAAATTAATCTTAGTTTCTTGTGTGAATTTTTTAAATTTAAAATTTCTTCCTCATATGAGGAGAAAATGCTTATTTATTAAATTTAATCTCCTATAAGTAAATCATTGACCAACTATAAACAATTAAAAGAGTATGTAATATCTTGAGACTGCTAGAATCCAGCTAAGGATCACTGTAATGGCGATTAGTACTTTTTCAGGTGTATCACACATTACAATCTTCTCATTAGACATTATTCCTTTGTACGAAGTAGTCTCCCACCCTAGGTTTGGTCCTCTACCTTAAAACACACCTTAATTTTACAGGAAGCTGTGGTCTTTGTGAGTAGGCACATTTGTTTTTACCGGGGTCCGGTAGAGATACTATTTTTAAATCTTGCTTCCCCATAAGGCAATGTGGCTGAATCAAAGGGGCATTGAAGAAAATATTAAAGATAGAAGAATGAATGAAATATAACTATCTTATGTTCATATGTTAATACACGACCAGTGAAATTCCAGATCATGTACAACCACAAGATGGGATCCTAATTAGGATAAGTTACACTCATGTATATATAATATGTCAAAATACACTCTACTGCCATGTATATCTAAAAAGAACAAATTTAAAAAAACTTTTAAATATCCACAACCCTGAGGTGTGTCCTGGCCCCTACCCCTTGAGGAGGTCATTTTCTTCTCTGGGCTTCCAGAATTTCTTTTCATTTCCTACAATGAAGAGATTAAATTAGATAATCTCTTCAACTCTTTTCTCACTGGAGAATTAAATGTTTTTTGAAGTTAGTTTCAAAATGAGCATTCATAAAAACAAGGTTTCTTTGACTTCATGTTATTTAACAAATACTTGTATTTTTGGAAGTATAAGTCCTTGCCCCACTAAATTTAAATGGATCCATAATTTTGACACAGTTATCTAAAAACGGAATTGAAAGTCACAAAATTATATGTCACATACACAGTATCCCTTGGATGTTGAAAGAATATTCATGTCTAGCCTTGATTTATGCATGGATTTGAAGATTCACATTCACTTATATATATTTGACCGAATTCTTAATAGTTTTGAATAATGCATTTTAATATATAGCTTTGTTCCTCAGAAGTTCATCATTATTATGTATACCAAAAAAATCATTCAGGTTCTATTAGGGATACATCTATTAGGTGTAGCTTATAATTATTTCTTTAATTTTATTATTGTGTGCTAGTTCATTTCATAGTTACATTAAGATTTTTTATGAGATGACTCCTCCTTTTCTTTTTATTCCTGTAATATTTAATTTTTCTCTCTGACTTTCAGAATACTTAAGGAGCAAATTAGTATTCCTTAAAGGTAAAATCAGAAGTGACCTGTCAAATTTTGTATAAAATTTGCCATTTGAAATTGGAGGTTTGCAGATAATAGAATGTGTGAGAAATGAGAGCAACCCGTATGGCTGACTGAATCCATTTTTCTCTGTTTTTCTCATCGGGGTATATGATATCTGTGTGCCTAATAGGTGTAACCTCTTGAAAGCATCGAAAACAACATCAGTCTTTAAAAAGCTTTTTGCAGACAAAACTGGGACCCAAAGATTTTTAAAGAGGGATGGTTTGAATATTAACCTTGTTCCACCAAAGGAAGAATTTGAAGAGACACAAAGGCATACTTTTCTAAACCCTAAGTTTATCAGTGGTGTTCTAGGCACCTTTCAGAATACAGTGTGACCTCATGAATATAACTATGCACCATACTTTTCAGAGACACCTCTTTCAATATAAGGTTTAATTTTCTGCTTTCTTTTATTGCACACCATAWAGACAACATGAAAAATACTTGAGAAGAGGTATGTATATGCCTCGTTCCAGTCATTAGGATTGACATTTACTCCCAAGGTTAGACATACATGGAGGTATTTGGTGTGGTTTTGTTGAATATTCAGCTGAAGAAAATGCCACTACTGGATTGAAGGGTTTTTTTTTCTTTCTTTGAAGATTTCAGATTTTCATTTCTTCTTTAAATATTTCTCACTTCCCTTTATTTGGTTAGAATTTCTTGATGACTAACTAGAGGAATCACAGGCTTGGTTGTGGATTTCATACAGATCTCTGAATGTTTTGCAAAACCATGTTGCAACTCACATTTAGCATTCACACAGGACTTTATATTTTCTTTTTTTGCAGTCAAGGGTACTGGGGATTGAATTCAGGGCTAGTCGTCCACTGAGCTACATCCCCGGCCCTATTTTGTATTTTATTTAGAGACTGGGTCTCATTGAGTTGCTGAGGCTGGCTTTGAACTTGTGATCCTTCTGGCTCAGTCTCCTGAGCTGCTGGGATTACAGGTATGCGCCACTGCACCTGGCTAGGACTTAGTATTTTCAAACCTGTTGAATTTAAAAATTAGAATTTTTACCTCTTCTGATTGTTAAAGTTAGAAAAACTGAAGAACATTTAATACACTTCTCTAAACAAACAAAGCATATTGCTCTCTGAGTGGTCAAGTTATTCTGCTATTATCCAATGTTGTGCCTATTTTAACATGAATATTCCATTTCCTTGACACTTTAAAGCTTGAGTCACTGAAGCGTCACTGCCCATTTGTTCAAAATAGAGGCACTGTCACTATAAAAATGCTGTACCAAATATTTATGTACGTATATAGTGTTTTTRGCCTAGTTTATGTATGTATATAAGAGTTTTTAGCTGTGCTAAAAACATCTCACACACATCTTGGCACAATTACGATACAGGTGATAGTGATTTTTAACTATCATGCTTAATTTTTTTCAGCATGTGAGAATGTGGTGATAGTTAATCAAACTTACGGCATCTTGGAGAGCATAAATTACCCACATCCTTACTCTAAAAATCAGCGTTGCAACTGGACCATCCAAGCAACAAGGGGCAACACGGTGAACTACACRTTTTTAGCATTTGAGTTGGAAGATCATACAAACTGCTCCACAGATTATTTAGAGGTATGTATTCTGAAACTCAATAAATCAGTGCACTTTCAAATCAAAGTAGAACAGCCACTTAGAAGTCATCATGCATTTTAGGATCAAACTCCTAACCCTGCCCGAACATCATAAACCACCCATGATATTTGAATAGGCGTATTTCATGTCTGTTCACTACCTAATCTTAACATTAATCTATTATATTATGTATGCAAAGAAATACATATACTTTAGGCTTCAGTGTAATTTTTTGGACTAATTGATCCCTTATTATTTAAATTTCACAGTACATTTTGGTTGTTGTTTCTATGTCTGTTCTCCAGAAATAAGAGACAAGAAATATGTTGGATTATCTTGGATTTATTTAATGCCTAATTAGTGGGAACAAAGTATCATGATTTTGATTCTTATTTTTACTTTAAAATTTAGGTTCCTTTCAGTTCATTTTCTTTTTATTATAATCAAAGTTTCTATTTTTATAAAAATGATTGCCAGTAACATTTATTCAACTTTCTCTATGCAATGCTATGCAATAGAAGTTGTTTGAGTATTAGGAAACCTAAAATATGAGGTAATCTGCTATTGTTATAAGGAGAGATTTTATTTATTAAAGCTTTTTTTCCCTGACTTGCATATGTAGCTTTTAAGGTTATAGTTGAAAAGTTAGGCAACTCCCTATTTTACTTACTTCACTATTATAGTTATTCATTCATGTATAAAACTTCATGTTATAGAAACATTAATTTAGATATAGAGTTTCTATTTTCACAATAAAACAATTTCATTCAAGTGATTTACATACATTTTAACAACTATTTTTCATCATTAATAAAATCACTTTTTGAGTCATCAAATATATCTTTATTTTCATGTAAGAAATATGTAATACTATTAAATTTCATATTGTTTTCATCTTTCCCACCTATCCACACAACAGTGATTCAATGTAGTTCTGTGATTCAAGTTCAAGGTGATGAGTGATTTTTAGAATTCTTAGTTGCCAACACTTTCAACATCTAGTACTCATAACTCTTAGGCCATATTCCCATGGGGAAAAAAATACTCTTTGTAAAAAAATTTTCTTTCCAATCTTACTAAAATTCTAGAATGGTTGCAGTTGTTTTCAGTTAATATTTTTTTCCAAATAGTTCTTTTGCTTATTGAAACAAAGAGAAACACCACTACCTTAAGAAACTGAGGGCCTAAATATAATGATATTCCTTTCTTTTCTTTTTTTCTTGCTTTTCAGGGGTAATTTTTTTTTGGAGGGGGGGTGCATTTACTAGGGATTGAACTGAGGGACACTTTGCCACTTAGCCACATCCTCAGCTTTATTTTGTATTGTATTTAGAGACAGAGTCTCACTGAGTTACATAGCGCCTCACTTTTGCTGAGGCTGGCTTTAAATTCATGATCCTCCTGCCTCAGCCTCCTGAGCTGCTGGGATTATAGGCATGCACCACTGTGCCCAGCCAGGAGTAATTTTTTTGATTAAAAAAATCTTATTTATATTCATAAAAGTAGAGTATTATAGAAATAGTAAGCTTAGTGTTTACCAGTCAGTATTCTATGAAAATATGACATGGCATGGAACAAACTTAAAATCATGAACTTGGCAATGGTTTTAAAATCCACCTTTCTTGACTACAGTAAGATGGACCTCACAATGTGCTTACCTGGAGCAGTCGTTGTTTTCTTCACATGGTGACAAGTTACTTTGAAAGCCCCTTGTTTGTACCACAAGCATTGCAGCGGATCATATCTATTTTTACCAGTTGTGACTATTCTTATGCCCAACTGACTTGTGGGCTTCATGAAGGGATGCATTGTCTCCTTCCAACTGTAACCTGAGCACTTATACATTGGGGCATTAGAGGAGTTCCAGTGGTACTGATTAAATTGAATATCACAGTCACATTTAGTACCCGTCTAATGATAGCGATAATTAATAAGAAAGAATTGAATTCCAGATTGGCCTTTCTAGAAATCCCTGCATGTTCATTTCAATCCTACAACTTTGAGCATAAGCCAAAATAAAACACATCACCTTGCAGTGGATTGCATGTATAACAACATAATAGCTACCCTCATGGTGATTTGATGATGTATATGGGGAAGGCTAGAGAGAAGACAAAGCTTTTGGACTCAACTTTACAGGAGACGTTGGCACAGAGAGTGGGGAGGAAATGAGGTTCATTTTTTCCAGGAACTGGACTCCACTTCTCTGGACTCACTTAATGATAGAATGGTTACAAGAAAAGCTCATCAGGTAATTTTTGGAGGCGTTGGAAGACTCAAATAAAAAAACAAATTCTTGTTCCAACATTACAGAKCAGTTAGAGGCCCCTGTCGATGATGTGTCTGTCGTGTTACAAGCCATTTCTGTTGTGCAACACTGATGGTGAAAGCAGCAGAAACACAGAATGAGAACCAGAAGTTCAGAAAAGCTTTCCAAAGAACGATATTCTTGCCAGAGAGAAGCAGGAGATCTTTTTTCCATCTCTATAAGCCAAGGGGCAAGACCAGAGCAATAGCTACAATGGCTGGCCTAGCATGGAAATTTTTAAAGCACAAATAGCCATTTAAGCAGAGAAAAATCCCAAGCACAAAAATCTAGTTCCCATTATGTTAATAACTTGTAGTTAAAAWTTTTTTTTCCAAGTGACTTAGCCAAGCGCCAATTGAGTGAGTTACTACAGCCAGAATTCAGTTATTTTGAATTAATACTGAAACTATAAAAAGACTTGATTAGGTGCTGGTCAAACACTATGCCTAACTTTGCTGAGAGGTGTGGGTTGGTAAAGATCCCACTGGGTACCAAACCCTTCCCTCATTGTTTTGTCTTCTGGACAGATTTGGAAATAAAATATTCAGTGATAGAAAGAGTCAGTTACTTAAAAGAGCAAAACTGAATTGCTCATTGCAATTAGAAATCAACCTTAAAGTATTCTGTTCGTATTTTACATATTGATTTCACTTTTTCATTTGCATCTGAGCCTGAGTTTCCACGTGGAAGAGGAGGTTTCTAATAGTGACTGAGTGTGCAAATGGAAGTGATGGATTTGGGAGAAAACGGCACAAAGATAGATGAAAACCCAGGGTAGGTGTCCGGACAACAGAGAGCAGTGTGAGATGAGAAGAGGAAATCTAAGAGGTTACTATGGTATGGAAGCCAAGAGAAGGGAGGATAACGGAATGGGACAGCAATCAAGGTAGTGAGATGCTCCAGCGCAGTAAACGAGAGGTCAGGATTGGGAAGTGTTTCTTGGGGATTTGTGTGACTGGACAGAGCAGTCTTTGTGGGGTTGCAGGAGGCAGATCACATTGTGAAGAAGCCGGAAGGAGTTAGGCATAGACTGAATCTTCTGGAACAGACCAGAATGGAGTAAGCTGTGGTCTCTCTCTTCAGGGCTCACGGTTCCTATCTCTGACTGGTCCTCATGTGCCAAGTTTTCATGGGACATGTTCTTCTACATGTTCTCTTTAGGTCACTGTCTCCCCAAATGTGACCCCCAGAATTGGATGTCACACTCCCACTGACCTGCTCATGACCAAGAAGTTTAGGACTCTGTTACCTGATTCAAATACTTCAACAACAAGTTGAAGTTTAAATGGGGTTTATTGTTAACCAAGTTATAGTGCTTATAACTATGTCAAGACCCAGAATCTGCAGGTCACTTTGTGGGAATCATTATGGCCTTATGTAGTTAAAAAATCTAAAAGGATATTCTTCCTAGTAGGTTATACTTACTTTTCTGAGAATTCTATCATCTCATGATCCTCATTTATTGCTCTTTTAAAACATTATTTATTTGCATAAAGACTCATTGGCCATTGGCCTATTATTTCTCCAGAAATAATTGATAAAATTGTCATGCAAGATGGCACCTATTTTAAACACTCTGAAGTCACAGATTCTTTTGGGCTAAAAGGGATCAATTTATTAAATATCTTTGGAATAGTCGGTACTTAAATAAGTCAGTAATCATAGCTAATATTTCTTGAATATATATTATTTGTTGGATAATTCTTATAGCAGTGCTTTAATGTAGGAAATATCAAGTGAAAAAAGTGAGGGAATTACAAAGATTGTAGGTGGCAGAATCAGGCTGTATACCAGGCACTGTGGCTCTCTTGTCCATGACACCTAGCATCCCATGAACTGTCTTTCACACCTTTCTGACACTCTCACAGGGTTCACAGGGGACTGTCCGTGAACTACCTCTCTCTTCTGACATTCTCACGAGGAGAAACATATGCTGCTTCAATGTGACTTCTTCCTAGAAGAGGCCATGTACCATAATGACCTTTTTCTTTGTACATGTCAGCACATAATTTTTAGCATCTGATTTAGCATTTTTTTCCAAAAAATGAATGGCAATCTTACTCATCTGGGAGATTCCAGAACAAATCTTTTCTACATTTTGGAAGATAGAACATTTTCCCTATAGATCTTTGGCAGTTCTCCTGGCTTTCACTGTTCTGGTTTCTGCTCTACACTCAAACTGAGCCATGTGGAAAGGCTTCGTGTTTGTGGAGGGATTGATTGTGAGGATAGTAAAAGACCTTGAGACACACAGGAGGTGCTGAGAAGCCAGGAAAGGCCCAGACGGAGGCAGCTAGGTGGACTCCAGTCTCTCTCTTTTCTTAAAGCTCGGTTGCTTCTCCCTGACTGTTTCCATCTCTCTCTCAAAGGCTTCCTCTCAGTTTCCGCAGCTRCGTGATTCTATCTTCAACGTGGCCACTGCAGCCATGATGTCTCCTGACCATGTATCTCAGGCACTTACAACCAACAGAATTTTCCCTTGGTGACAAATTCCCAGCTCAGGTGGCTTCTCTTTTTGAAAGCAAAGTTGGGGATCTGGCCTGTGAACCCCCCGGGCAGTGTGACCAGCTCTGGCTAGGAGCAGTGAGGTTGTACCCTTTGCCTGCTTTGCTTACAGATTGTCTGTAGGCTGAGGCAGAATGCTTTCGAGCAGGGCCATAGTTTCTGCTGGCATGTGGAAACAATTTTTTAA